GAAATCTTCGACTGCTTGAGCTGATGTTATAGTTGCCCGAGGTGTATCGAATTCAAGCCTATTATCTAAACATTGTCTAAAGACCTAAAAGCCTGAAAATTATTTATATAAAATCATTTTTATTTTTACTTATATTTATTATATGGTAATCAAAAAAGCAAAGAAACGATAGTTATGATAAGTTCTGGAGCAATACATTTTTTAAATATATCTGATTTGTTCAAAAAATCCTTTTCTTTTGTTGCTTAAGCGCTACCGTTCCGATAATATTTCATATTATAATTTTTGTATTGTTAACATCTAATTATTGTAAACAATATCCAACTTGTCAGTGGCTGTTTCTAGTAAAACAAATTTGGTCAGCCGATACAAAATGCTTAACGTTTCAGAAGGTATTTCTCATGCCGTCATCAGAAGCAAAAAAACACAAAGAAAAAACCATTTAAAATATCAAAATCAACCAAGAACACTTTACTTTTTAGCAGATACGTCTGTTGTAAACCGTTTAAGTTCTAGTAAAATTTAATTTCATAAAAACTTGATAATTATCTAATGACTAAAATCAAAAAGCTTAAACTTTCGGTATGGTATATTTAATATATTATATCCAAAAAAATCCTTATGGGTTTTTCGCCACTGCACTGCAAGAAAAATCTACAAAATAAAATAGTTATTTTTTGTAAACACTTCTGCGTTAAACCTAAACGGACGCTGCTTGTCAGAAGTTGTGTTTACAGTAATAAAAATTTGCCTGACAAAGAAAAAAATGCTTAACGTTTCGGAAAGTTTTCTCTTTCCGTCGTCGGAAGCAAAAAAATATAAAGAAACAAGAAAAAAACTATTTAAAATATTTAAATTGAACTATTCGAGAACACTTTATTTTTTAAAACAGATACGTCTACAAGAAATCGCTGACGTTCTGTTAAAATGACATTATATTAATAATATAATAATTAATAATATAATAATAAAAAGTAAAGTGTTCTCGAATAGTTCAATTTAAATATTTTAAATAGTTTTTTTCTTGTTTCTTTATATTTTTTTGCTTCCGACTACGGAAAGAGAAAACTTTCCGAAACGTTAAGCATTTTTTTCTTTGTTAGGCAAATTTTTATTACTGTAAACGCAACTTCTGACAAGCAGTGTCCGTTTAGGTTTAACGCAGAAGTGTTCACAAAAAATAACTTCTTTATTTTGTAGATTTTTCTTGCAGTGCAGTGGCGAAAAACCCATAATGATTTTTTTGGATAGATGAATCCGCCACATAGGTATAGACATTTTTTATAATATATTATAGTGATGTTCTAGGCAAAAAATTAATGAAACTGCTGAACAATTGCAAGAAATAAAGCCCAGGATTGAGATAGTCAGAAATTCTTTTTTAAAATTAAAGAAATGTCTTTGTAGATATATAACCTTAGATTTAAGAATAAAAATGCTCCGATGCTACGTGTTTTCGACCTTATTGTATAGTGCCGAAGCGTGGACCATTAAAACAGCCGAAATTAAAAAAAATGGTGGCTTTTGAAAGGTGGTGTTGTCTGGCGACAGAGTTGCAAATATGGTGTTAGCGGTATGAAAAAGGAAGAAAAAATGCACAAAGAAGAAATATCCTTAAGAGGAAAAGGAATTAATTATTACTAGAATATTCCTAGGTCCTAAATACCAATTACTCCAGAACATTATGGAAGGAAAAATCCAAGCAGGACGTAGTCGGGGTAAAAGACGAATATCCTGGCTGAAGAACCTCAGAGAAAATGGTATGGAATGACATCAAATGGTTCATTTAGAGCAGCCGCAAATAAAATAAAAATACCCGTGATGATAGCCAACCTCGGTTAGGAGACGGTACTTGGCAAAAAATAAATAAATAACTAAGTAAAAAAATATGCATTTGTAAAAATCCCCTCTCTCTTTTGAAATAGTCCTAATATTCGATCATTCGAAATTTAGAGGTTTAGTCGTTTCACCAATATAAAATTTTTCACATTGACATGGTATTTGTATATCATATTTTTTGTTTATTCCAGGCTTCTTTTCAAGAATCGTATCATAAAGTTTTTTATCGTTCTGAATAAACAAATAATGTATTTTAATAACACTGTAAAAATCAAACAAAATACAAGAATCGAAATAAACCCCTTGAAAATAATGTTACGACAGATACAATTTAAAATTTTAGAATAAAATTAGTCAAAGCCTATGGAAACCATCAAATAATTGAATTTATTATCGCGTGACAAGCACTGTTCACGACTCAATATGTTTTCGTTTAAACCAGAAAATCCTACGAGGCAGCCAACTGGTGTCGGACGGACACCCCTTTCAATGTTCCAACAATAAAATTTATGTTGTGTATCGAGAAATTTTCTCCAATTCAGCTGCTTTCTATGGACGTAACGACGGACGGGATCGATTTTTGATTGTGCCGTCGAACAATCAGGTTTCTCATTTAATCTCGCATTCGTCGGCTTCGTTATTGGAGAAAAATTAGATTTCCGGGATTTTATGTGTTCGCGTCGATAGATTTGTGCAGGGAGGGAGTTTGTGCCAATAGGAAATCTTTTGTTTTTGGCAGAATTCCTTGAAATTTTGTAATTCTTAAAAGTTTCGATACATCTTACCAATTTAGGAAATTTTAGCATTAGATGAATAATAGGAATTTGATCAGTTCAATTTGACCAATTTCATAAATTTCATAACTTTTAAATGATATCTGTAATTATCTCAGGTTTGATCACTTTTATTGTTAAATCAATCTCGTCAATTTCACCAATTTAAAATTTTCTACAAATTCAATGAAATGTAAAAAAATCAGTCAGTTTCATCACATCGATTAATGGCAAAAATTCTATCATTTTCACTTGATCACTGCTGTTAATCACTGTAATTTCATTAATTTCTTCAATATTTTCTCCTATCGATCAATTTTATCGATCGAATCAACTTCATCAATTTTAAAAATTAGATTTAAGTTTAACGCAGAAGTGTTTACAAAAAATAATTATTTTATTTTGTCGATTTTCTTGCAGTGTAGTGGCGAAATACCCATTTTGGATTTTTTTGGATAGATTTAAGTTTCATAAATTTTAACACGAATAGTCATTTTAACAAATTGAATTGAACTGAACGAAGTCTGTAGAGTAAATATCATAAAATAAGCTAAGAAAAGCGCAAATCCGCAAAATTTCAAATCAAATTCAAATGTGTCAACTGACACGCCAAGCTAAACCGTCAAAAATCATGGCCTCTAAATTTCATAAATTTCACAAATTTCGTAAATTTCGCCAATTACATAAATTTCATAAAGTAGTTTTAAACATGAGCGAAACAAAAGAGACATGAACGTCGATATACAGGGTATTCCAGGCTGAGTGTGCATTAGAAGTTTCTAGAGAACTACAATATCTAGCTCGTAGATCAACGAGATCTATCGATTAAAAATATTTCGGCAGCCAATATGGAGGCACTTTCGGAAATACCGAAAGTTGACAGCAACTTTCTTATTTTAAATGGGTGTCCCCATTTTTTGTAATACATACTTAAATTATCTGTAAAATTCTATGAGAGAATTTTGATATTAAACACTCTATACCTAACACTGACCGTTTTTAAGAAAAAAATATTTGAAATTTTCGAACGAGAAAAACTGCCTGTCAAAAGTATGTGTATAGCCCAAACGTCAAATTTAGTGATTACAACAGCCACTGATGTGCCAGAAAGAGAAGACCTGAGGCTATCTATTTCAAAATTAAATTGTTCGAATGCCATGTAATAATGGCCGTAGCTGTCATAGTATTGAGCGATTAAAATATTATCATAAATCATTTTTTTCAAATGGAAACCGACTTTTTTTATTTCACTAGTGAAAAGTCTTTTAAATTCGTTACTTTTTGACTATACATGTTCCTATACCTAAAATAAATAGTTTTTAAGTTATTTAAGATTTAGTTTTAAAGCGTATATTTTTCTTGATTTTAACCAGTAGCCTATGATTAAACGTTAAGTGATGTAAAACAATAGATCTGGCCATGTCATATAGTGACGCTTTGTTCAAAAAGCAGCATCATTTCCGAACCAACTCTGTGCTGTTTTTTTTTTGATCATACAGAATATTATTAATAATATCAACTATATCACTAAAGAGCGAAAATACGAGCTATATTTTTATAAATACACTTTTTAAATTCCTAAGCGGGTAGTATTTACAATATAGAAAATACACATAATTTGTTTTCTGACAACTGGAAAGAAATTGTGTGACCATTTGACACTTAATGTCAAAAGAAGCTAGATAAAATCAAGGAAAATATACGTTTTCAAATTAAATCTTAAATAACTTGAAAACGATATATTTTAGGTATAGGAACATGTATAGCTAAAGAGTAACGATTTGAAAAATCTTTTCATTAGTGAAATAAAAAAAGTGGGTTTCCATTTGAAAAAAATGATTTATGATAAATTTTTAAACCCTCAATTCCATGACAGCTACCGCCATTATTATATGACATTTGAACAATTTAATTTTTGAAATAGATAGCCACATGTATTCTCTTTATGTCACAGTGGCTGTGGTAAGCACTAAATTTGTCTTTTAGGCTATACAAATTTTTTTGACAGGTAGTTTTTTTCGTCCAAAATATTTAAATATTTTTTTTCTCAAAAACGGTAAACTTTAGATATAGAGTATTTATTATCAAAATTCATAGAATTTTACAGAGAATTTAAGTATGTAATAAAAAATGGGGACGCCCATTTAAAATATGAAAGTTTCTGTCAACTTCTGGTATTTCCGGAAGAGCCGCCATATTGAAAATATTTTTAATCGATAGATCTCGTTGTAAAACAGTGATGTGCAAAAAATCTCCGATCTAAATATTGTGGTTCTCTGGAAACTTCTAATGCACGCTCAGCCTGGGACACCCTGTATATGCCTGCTTTATAGATTATAAAAAAGCCTTTGACTGTGTGTCGCACCAAAAACTTCCTGAGATTCTTAGAACTACCGGTGTGGATGAGGGGGACCTGCGCATTATCACCCAGTTATACTGGAACCAGACTGCAGAGATCAGGGCGGATGGCGGAACATCTGTTGAAGTAGCAATTAGGAAAGGCGTCAGGCAGGGGTGTGTATTATTGTCCCCACTCCTTTTCAACATCTACTCCGAGGTGGTATTCCGTGAGGCACTAGAGAGCGTTGAGGATAGTATCAAAATCAATGGTACACTGATCAACAATATTCGCTTCGCAGATGATACGGTCGTACTGGCTGGCAACATTCTACACCTTCAGAACATGACGGACTGCATCGTTGAACATAGCATGCAGTACGGATTACAAATCAATGTTAACAAAACTAAACTTGTTGTATTTTCCAAAACACCGGGAAAGACTGTCCTCAGAATTAACAACAAGGTGGTAGAACAAGTATCGTCCATAAAGTATCTAGGAGCCCTAGTTAACGACGCTTGCGACTCCAAAATTGAAATTTTAGCGAAGATCGAACAGGTCAGACGTACTTTTGCTTCCATGAAAATCCTCTTCTCCAACCAAGATTTAAGCCTCGAACTGCGCATACGTATTCTGCGTTGCTACATCTTTCCAGTATTTATCCACGGCTCTGAGAGTTGGACACTCAATCAGACATTGGAAAACCGCATTAACGCTTTTGAGATGTACTTGTATCGTCGTATGCTGCGTATATCCTGGATGGATAGAGTGACAAATGAGGAGGTACTCAGGCCGATGGGCAAAGATGAAGAGCTCCTATCAACAGTGAAGGAAAGGAAGTTACAGTACGTCGCTCACATCATGAGGGGTGATCGATACGAGGTGCTCAGACTGGTCATCGAAGGCAAAACTCCTGGCTTAAGGATCTACGTCGTTGGTTCGGAAGAACATCGATCGAAATTTTCAGAGGTGCGGTTTCACGCACCATCATAGCCAGTTGGATCGCCAACCTCCGAAGGAAGACGGCGCGGCGCGGCGGCATAAGAAGAAGAAGTTTTAAACAATTTGAGTAATATCACAATTTCGATCATTTTTACTGAATCATTTAATTACGTAAATTTGTTGAAATTTATGTGATATCTGTTATTATCTCAAGTTTGATCAATTTTAACTGTAAAATCAATCTCGTGAATTTCACCAATTTCGTAGATTTTACAAATTCAATGAAATGTACAAGATCAGTCAGTTTCATCAAATTGTTGAATTGTACAAATTCTATAATTTTTACTTGACCTGCAGTTAACCACTGTAATTTGATTTATGTTTCTAGTTTCATAAATTTTAACACGAATCGCCATTTTAACACATTGAGTTGAACTGAACGAAATCAATTATTGTAGAATAAATAACATAACATTTCAAATCAAATTCAAATGTGTCAACTGACACGCCAAGCAAGTCTATCAAATATGGTAGCGTCTAATTTTTTTACATGGGTTTTTATTCAAAGGTTTGAGTAATGGTATTCCAGAAGATAATATAATATTTTAAATAATTTTCTTAATTAAAAATATTGGCGCTCAACAGGTGCGATAAATACCTAATGATTATCGCTTGTTGAGTTTGACTACTCACTAGATGGTACTCAGCAAGTACTTGCCTATCTTCTCAAGTTATGATTGATTCTATATTCTCGTGTTTACCTTGCAATATGTTTATAAGGATACCTTTAGGAGATATTGTGCCTATTAACAATTGACGATACACTGTAAAACATTTTTCTTGGTAAATTGTATGTTTATATAACTTTGGATTCAGTACTAATTGTGTTCTTGTGTTAAATAATGGTAAATTATGGTTAAATGTTATATTTAAAAAACAAACAAACTACATTATTAATTCGAAATATTAATTACGCATAAAAACGAAAATATATTTGTTCTGTAAATTAATATTCCATATTATTATTAATAAATTAATATTTCGAATTAATAATTTATTCTTTTTATTTTTATTCCGTTCCGTAAATTAATTCGACTCTTATCCCTTTTTAACTGTTCCACGAAGGACTTGCTTCAGAGGAAGCAAAAGCCAAAGCAAAAAGGGGAATCCTCGAAAAAGGGGGGAGTAAAGGAACCAAGAAACAGTCTGGCGCATCTCCACCAAAGCAGAACCTCTTACTTCTGCTCCAGCAAGGAGAGAAAAAGCCAGGATGGAAATCTGTCCAACACTGAGAGGCAAGCAGGGACGTATCACTAGCTTTTCCGCTACTGCTGGACAAGTGAAAATCGCGGTGCTGCCAAAGGATTACCCAAAGGCTGCACTGACCATCTATCAGCAAACTGATCTAGAAAAATAAGTGTTTTTAACACAGCCACGACATTCTAGATTGAACATTAAACTACAATTATTTAGCGAAAATGTCAAAAGTTGCCATATGATTTCTATCGAATAAAAAATCGAAAAAAATACCGAGGTGTCATTTAAAAATCATTTAGAATGTAGTCATTTCCGGTGAAACAGGAAGTGTCTGAATACGTTCTCGTTTTTTTATGAGAAAAAATAAAAAAGTTATAGAGGTGAACCACTCTTGAGAAACAGCCGGTATATTATTGATCGTGGCCCTAGAAAATAATACCTTCTTTATAAATAAATAATATCAGAGAGAAAATTCAATCGCTAGTTTACTATAAAATGCTTCAATAGACCACAAAATTACACAAAATCGCAAATCGCAATTTGTAAAAATTAAAACTCGCAGATAGAAATCGCGGTCCCAAAGTCGCAAATCGCCCTATAGTAATACTGGTTGCCGAAATTGAAACTCGCAAATAAAAGAAATCGTAGTCGCAGTCTCCTATAAGAGCTAATCGCAGGTTGCGATTGCGATCTTAAAATCGCTGCGATTGAATCGCAGTTAGCGATTTCTTGCTTATTTCTAGTGTATACCCCCGTAGGAGGTAGATGTCCAATCTTTGGAGGAAGAACATTTGTTGTCAGAAGAGGATGGGAAATACCCTGCCCCCCTACACCAGAAAAATCCACATGTATGATGAGTTATAGATTGTATGTTATAACTCAAGAAAGGGGGAAACAATAGATCTTTAAGGCCGCTGTGATTAATGTTCTTTTAATCTTTTATCAGGTAGGTTTTGCGATTGAATATTTTTTAAGATATGGTGTTCAAATAATTAAAGAAATAAGTACGAAATTTAAGTAATACGGTCACAGAATTAAAAATTATTAAAAACAACAGAGATCGTCCATCTAAAAATAAAGGATAAGAAAAAAAAACGACAAATTAAACAAACGTTTCCATACTTTCCAGCGATTAAAACCCAATCAAAATATTTTGTTTGAACTTCTCAATTAATCTTAGAATACAAAACGATAAATCAACAACGAAACGAAACTCATCGGACCAAATAAACACTTTAAATCACTACCGCTCGAGCTACCGAGTTCTGTTGCGCCTTGTTTGACTCCTATCATACACATGATTTAGCATCTATAAACAACTGTTCTCCAGTCAGATGGCTTAAAATTGAAGCTAACCGCCGACGACGAAAATAAAAGGGTAAACAGAGCCATAAATCACCTGTCACAATGACAGCCGAAGGCAAAGTGCACCCAGGATTAATTGCACCGGTCGGGATGGGTGTCGGAAGGTGCCCATATGGCAGGGAGCGTCACGCCTGGCCGCAGACCCCGTATGATACGACGCACGAGGGGGAACGCCTTTCGGTTAGTCCTATTCTTCTGTAGTTTGCGTAGCATTGATTCATCCTAACGCGGACCTGTCTTGATAATGACATATTATCTCATATACTCTGTTTTAGCGATGGGCATTACGATTCTTTTTAGTAAACCGAATAACACGATTCAATTTTTCATAATGAATCGACTCCTAATGCGATTGGTTCATTTGAACGAACCACATGCACAATTTAAATTTCATAAAAACAAGAACCGTAACTGACACTACCGGCGATAATTTGGCGGGACAATTACTTAAGGGGCCACAAAAAGAGATATACTGTTGTTTCATTTGTTTTGTCAACACTTTATGGCACTGACGTAATTGGATTGATTATTTTACCAATAATATTAAATTATTAATCTACGACAAGAAATAGAATAAGAATAAGAAATAGAATAGAATAAGAAACAAGCAAAAAAAGGTACCTAAATACGTTTATTTATTGTAAACATTAATTATAATATCAGTATAATTGGTTAAATTAATTCCAGACGATGACAGGTGAGTTGAATTTTTAGAAAGTAAATCTATTTCCTGAGTTCTTGAACATGTTGAAGACCCATCATTGCCAGAAATGTTACCCAAAATATTACATGGCACTTTTTTCTTATTTTCCTTGGAATTTTCTATATAGCTCTCTGCCACTATGTTAAAGCGCCAACCATCATGTCTTTTAACAGTTAATAAATCCACTCCTGAATCTGCAAGCAACGACGCAGACGATCTACGGAAACAATATCCAGTGTATTGTTGTGGATTTGGAAGACTTGGAACAATGCTATTTTACACGGCATTTTCCCTAAAGTATTAATGCCAACGGGTTGCTTAATACATTTTCCATTTCTGTACCCCACAAAAAATCGAGTATGCTCTGTGTTGCTTGGCCTCATAGCTATATATCTTCGAACCATTTCCACCATATTTATTCCTTCAAAATTCCATTTCGTTATAAAAAAAAAATCTCGTGATATCTTTGTTTTCGTAAATGGAATAATGAAATTAATGTATTGTCCTTCATCTTTAATATTTTGCAGCTGCAGATTTGTCAACTCGATACGCCGGCAGGCTCCCGCGAGTCCCACTATCAATGAAACTTTTGTCAGGAAGTAAGTTTTATCATCAGTTTCCAACAAAAAACGAGTTATGTCTTCTTTTCTTAAAATTCTCGATTTCTTTGACCGAAATCCTTCCGATTTTCTTTTTAGCAATGCCATTAAATGGACGTACTTACTCATATCTGTATTTTTCTTCACTGATATAACTGAACGTAGCATGGAATAATATATCCAAAGTGATGAAGCCTTCCTATGTTTTGAAAGATGTTCAAAATATACCAGGAGAACCTTTTCGTTACTACTATTCTTCATTCCTTTCCTTTTACACCAATCTTCAAGTTTTACATAGGCTTGCTCGTACGTTTGTCTTGATTTTTCGGGAAGTAGGGAATCGACAACGTTTTGCGCAATGTCTTCAATATCCGAAGGGACACTTTCAGAATCAGAATCACCCATATTAATATTATTTTTTACTTTTTACTAAAACTGAACGTTTAACACAAAATTGAACATCAATAATTGAGTTGTCAAAATCAAAATGGAAACAATTAACAAGCACGGTTGCCACGGCGTCGACTAATATGGGCGCCTGATAATTTTGAATTTTAATTTTTATGAGGATATCTCTGATATTTTAAATTAAATCAAATCTCTTTGGACCGTCCCTCGTGTCGCGTCGTAGATTAAATTTTGAATGATACACGTTCGATACGAGCTTGCTCGGCTAACGCCTCATGGCTAACGTTACACGCGTTTCATTATGATGTTCGGATCGAACTTGTATCATTAATAACTATAATCCAATTCATATATCATATACTATTTATTAAAGATTTCTAATAGCAATTTAATATTTTTTTCCGATTTAATCATGTTTAAATAATTTATAATACCGTATGATCGAACAAAATGGCGTCTAGTTGGTTGCCTATATAATTTTAAAATGACAACAATCTTCATTTGATAACCATCGCTGACGACGTTTTTTTTATCATATTGAGCAGAGGCCGACAATATTTATTTAAAGTTGCAAAAAACACGATTTCGTCTTTTAGTGCGTTATTTATGGTTTATAGTCGGTTATAGTTATATTATTTTAACAAAAATATTAACGTCAAAATTAAATGCATTACATACACACCCGTACTAGGCACATTATAAATAAGTTTTTAACATTG